ATAATAATTTTAAACGACTATTTCTTTATTTAAAGGAATATTTAAATTTGTATTAGTTATATTTTCTCATTGCATTATTCTCACCTATAGGGTTCCTCGTCGAAATGTGATCCAAACTAACAACTTCATTGTATCAAACCCACCTATTCCTCGTAATTCAAAAGCTTTATCTAAACATTCAAACCCCCCCCCCCTCACATTCCTTAGGCCTTGTAGAAAAATTTCAAAAATCAACTGGTCACATTTTATGATCTCTGATAAAATGTTATGACCTATACTTTAATTAAACATGTCATGACCACAGTAACAAAATTTATGGTCAAAATCACATATTAGTCATAAATCATATAAAGTCATAGCCATAAAAATAAAATTTATGAGTCACAATTAGGTAGGGAAGGCAGTGGGCCGAGCCAGCTCGGCTCAGTCCACGAGCGGCTCGCTAGCTCGTGAATTTTTTTTTATTATTTTTATTTTTATTTTTTTTTTGCAAAATTTTCAAATTTTATTGACAAAATTTTATTTTTTTTCCACATTTTTGGACGAGCGGCTCCTGGGCTTGGCCCACGAGCGTGATAAAATTTTATTTTTTTCCACATTTTTGAACGAGCCGGCTCGTGGGCTCCTCGAGCTCTGCTCGTTGGACGGGACCCCCCGCTCGACTCGAGCTCGGGCTCTTCACTTGACGAGCCTGAGCAACCCACGAGCCGAGGTTTGACGAGCCGAGCCGGCGGCCCAATTGACATCCCTACAATTAGGTAATAAGTCACAAATTACATATTTAACATGTCCCAAAATATTTATTAGGCACAAAATCATACAATGAACTGGTCATAATAGCTATTCTTCTCACCCACCTCTCCACCACCGCTGGCAACCAACCACCCTACTTATCATTTACACAGAATATAACCGCATTTTGTCTGTAATACAAACTTAGTTTCGTTTCTAACAAATTTGAGTTATAAAAAAAGTTCAAAATCATATTTGGCCAGCAAATAATTGGAAATCTGCCTTCTGTTCGTTGAAATATCCACATAATCTTGACTTTCTTGATATCAAACAAATGTTCAACTTCATTTATTATTAATTACACATTATTGAGTTGCAAATGAAGCAATACACACTGTCATGCATTTATTCAACACAAACTTCAAATATCTATTGTTTATTTAATTACATAAAATTGCTTTCATTCTCAGGAATTTTCACAAGCCAACTGTCTGAAAACAAGTCATTCACAAGTGCAGGTGAAGAAACAACGCCTCTTCACTAGCCATCTTCATCCCTTGCAATAATTAACAAGAAAATTCTCGTCAAGTCCAACAGTGAAAAACTTCGTCATGTAATCACTCAGCAGGACCTCTTTGTATACGGGAGGATTTTCTTCTGTTATCAACTCTTTAATGGGGCTATAGAAAACCTTATCCATGTTTATGGGACCAGAGAAAAAGCATGCTATGGAAATTCTTGGCCCAAGACGATTGGCAACCACTCTGTGCTTATTGCTTCTGAATTTTCCATTGGATACTAGCTTTAAGCCAAAAATTAATAGAGAAAAATCTTCAGTAAAAATGAGCCAACAAACAGGTAAAACGAAATCAGAAAACAAACATATTCATGGTGGTTCGTGTTCGTGGGGAAATACTGAATTATTTGGTTTCAAAGTATAACAATATATCTATGGATACCTGGAGAAGATCCCCAATATTAGTTACAAGTGCTCCACGAATGGGCTGGACATCGACCCATTGGTTTTGGAAGAAAATCTGGAGACCATCGATTTGGTTTTGTAGAAGAATGGTGAGAAATCCAAGATCTGAATGCTTTACGGTTCCCAGAGTGAGTTCTGGTTCAGGGCACGCTGGATAATAGTGACAGGAAAAACGGTGCCCTTCAGAACAGTCCATGTTTCTTAGGTGCTCAGGTTCGAGTCCAAGAGCCTCCGATAATAATCCAAACAGAATATTTCCCAAGTTACTGACGGGTTTTGAGTACTCTATAACTGACTTCCTGTGAATTAACAGCATGTTTGTCAAGAAGTACTGTATAGTAATAAACTGTATTAAGGAAAAAGAATCTAAAATTTAATCAATTCTCTAGTACGGCTAAACTTTTGTTTACGTACCTACATAAATCTGGCAAGTCATCAGAATTAATTTGATCAGGATCTGAAAATGAAATAGCCAACGTGTCTCTCCAGCTAGCAGTCCTTGATGTGAACAAATCAAAATTGCTGTTAAATCTCACCCTTCCCGTATTATCCCACGTGTAGTATTTCTTTTTCTCCTCAACATCCTGCTCATTAAATTTCTGTATTGCATCAAGTATTTCATTGAGCACATTTAAGGAAATCCCATGATTCACCACTTGGAAAAATCCCCATGTTTCTGATGCAATCCTTACTTCTTCTACAATCTGTTTATGCCTATGGGTTTTCTCCAGATCACCCAAATCAATCACAGGAACTTCAATTTGAGCCCTCTTGTAATTCAAATCTTTAGCCAGTTCTTCAGCCGGTCTTACAAAAATCTGGGGAATTTTTTGCAATCCTGAATCAACTAATCCCTTTACACCAGCTTTTGTTTCATCAAAAGTCTTCAATTCTTGCAGTCTGTCATATTCTTGAGCACCTGAGGTATCCATGACTCCAGCTATTAGATGCAAATTTATGGGTGGTTGGCCACTATAGGATTGTTGAGCTATATATCAAGAAGGTAGCAACTTTTAATATATATATATATATATATAGAGAGAGAGAGAGAGAGAGAGAGAGAGAGAGAGAGAGAGAGAGAGATGTTGGGTTACAATTTGGGTGTGACCCAAATTCTATTAAAAATTTAATTGGGAGTTACATTGGGAGTTTGTAGTTTGACTTGAATAAGCCTTGAAAGAATACAAGACTGATAAGGAGAAGGTTTTGCGATTTTGAACTTATGTTCAACCTCGAACACTCCGTCCGTTATTGATTTTATTTATTGTAACAGGATTTCACCTTATGTTAGACTCGTTTGTATTAATTTTCCTAATATGTTAGTGATTCTTATAACTATGTGGCATATTACACATTTGTTTAACCTGCTTAGAGAGTGATCCAGGTGAATTAGATTAACTCGCAGATAGAGAAATCAGGAGAGAGTCTTGTGAGATTCAGGATAATATATTGTAACCCTTTATTTTTAATTAGTGAATTCTCCGTCCCTGTTCGTGATTTTTCTTGTTTTGGGTTTCAACATAAATCATATGTTCTTGTGATTGTTATTTTCATCTTGCCCATTATTTCGTCTTTAATATTCATAATAATTGGCTCATTTTCTAACCAGTGATGTCAGAGCAAGGATGGACAGCTCCTAGGAGAACCAGTTTGGTTACGTATTAGAGCAAGGTTTGATCAACTTTGAATGAGGTTTGATAGCTCCAGAATGACAAGTATAAAGTTTGATATTTCGCTTTTGGATTGTAATACTAGATTTTCGTTATGGCAAATTTTTGTTTGGATGATGGAGAATAAGCAATGTAAGGATCTAATTTTGATAAAAGGGTAGAGAAGGTCTTACTTATATGTTTTGGAAGGTTCGATGATCACGTTTGATTCAACTATCTCTAAATTGAAGAAAATATGTATTAGGTCTCAAGAGATCTTCGGTGAGGCTCATTTGGTTGCTTCAAATGGAATTGGTTGTGTTCAAGTTGCTCCCGATGATAATTTGAGAAAATTGACGTAATCCTACATGTAAGCAATGCTTGGATTCAGTTGGCATTTACTGAGTTTGCCCTAGTTGGGCTTTGTGGAAGAGGTAGATGAACTTGGTGGATTGTTTTGTTTTTAAGTTTTATTCCGTGTAGCGAAATTTGATTCCAAGTGGAGAATTTTTAGAACTTCATTCTTTGTAATGGAACTCGTGTCAAGGTGGAGATTTATTATAATTTGTGCGTGATCCCAATTTTATTGAAAATTTAATTCGGAGTTGGTAGTATGACTTGAAGAAGTTTTGGAGGAGTCCAAGACGAATAAGAAGAAGATTTCACGATTTTGACAGTTTTTGGACTTATATTCAACATCGACCACTTTGATGTTACTTCACGTGTAAATTATTTCGACTTCTTCGTACATTTTACTTTATCATAAAAGGTGGAAATTTCTTATGGAAACGAGATAATATAATATACCGTCTTTGAATTATAATTCTTTAAATTATAAACCATGCATTAAATTTTCAATTGAAAATAAGATAGATAACTCAGTTCAGCAACTCGAAATTAAAGTTCATGAGCTAACGAGAACAGCTGACTTTTTGGCTTTGCTTATCTCAATTTTCACATTTAAAATGTGCAATTAGGACATTTTATAGAGATTTGTCTGGAAGATTTCATGTGAGGTAGAGAAGAAAATTATCTTTTTCTTCTAAGAAATTGTTTTTGAATTTTTAAATTTAATAATTGCCAATAATTATCCATCATGGAACCACCTCATTAACCATTTTTTTTTATGACGGGAGAACCCGTGGCCGCTACTCTTCGAGTGTGCACTTGGTAAACCTCATTAACACTTTTCGTTTAACGCATGGTTATATGTATTAATATTAAATTCTATTACGACATTATTAGATTTTGGCTGGAGAAAAGGAATGTAGGGAGAAGTCATGTATTTACGTAAATATGCATAATGGAATTCAAAAAAAAAAAAATTCAATATCCAAAAGTTCAGTCAACTCTGGGGTTAGATAGAATATGTGATAGAAGGGATACCTTTGACGATTTATAAGTTGAGATCACTCTAAATCTAATTTACAACGATCTCAGCATGCCACAACTGTCCATATCATAGTTATTAGACTTGGATCGGACCGGCCGATTCTAACCGGAAATCGTTGAACAGGACCATGGTCCTGTCCGAGTCACCTAGTTTCTTAAATCTGCAACTGACCCATATAAAACCCATACGAACCGCTAGCTTATCTTCTGAACCGCTGGCCTAAATTTTAAGGAAACAGCCCGGTCCAAACACTTACGATAAAAACCCTTTCTCTCATTCTTCTTCACAGTCGGCAGAAGAAGAAGCGAAAGCCCTACCCCCGCAGCAGAGAAGCCCATCTCTTGCAAGTCTCAATTTCACTCCCAAGAATCCAAACTTCAAATTTCAAGCTATATTAGATGGAAGAAGAAGATGTAAGTTTAAATTTTTATAGAATCTGCAAGCAGAAAATCTGATCCGTGTCCGTGTTGCTGGCTATCTCCTTTCTGTTTGTATTTCAATTTTCAGTCCTCAATGTCTATCTCCATTCTGTTTGTATTCCAATTTCAAGTCTGTGTTGCTGGTAATGAAAGTTCAGGTTATTAAAATTGCCTGTTTTAGTTCATTTTCAATTATGAATTATCTTCACTGAAAGTGTCTTATCCTCGGTCCTGCATATCTCCTGCCTCTTTATAGCAAAATTGTACTTAATTCGTCCAGTCGTAGTCAACTTTCAATCTTAAATGTGATTTTATGGGTGATTGTGGATTACATGTACAAGTTAAAATTTGCAATTTTGTACACACATATGGATCAGAATCAATGGTTAAATTGCAATTTCATGTGTGAATATGTTTGGTTGAATTTCACAGTTCTAGTTCTTGGTTTATGGATTTTCTTTTTGTAGATTTCTTTAATTATATGTTGATCAATTTTTGTAATTTAGTTAGCTAATTAGATGTGTAAGAATGCTGTAAATCTCAATTGTGGTAATGATTCTTTTTGTAGCTTTGTGACACGTGAGTATACTGTAATTTATCAATTTTTGGATGATCTAATTCCAGATTTTAAGTATAAGGACCCATTTGTCAAGTAGACAAGAGAACCCATTAGCATGTGATTATGTGAACTTTTGATAAAGGAGTTTCTCAGTTGGAGACATCCGCTGTCTTTAAAAAAAATGAAAAATGAAAAAAAATAAAAATCAACCCTATTTACCATTGATTTAGAAGCTTACCTTTTAATTACACGTGTCACTTTGCCTAAAAAATTAATCAACTATAATGGGATTTTCAGTTTTCACACTTTCACTTTGGAGCTTTCAATCCCTAAACTGGTGGTTGCTAAAGCAGTGTCACTGTAATTTAGTTAGGTAATTTGATGTTGATTAAGAATTTTATATTTGTCCAGACGACGTGTGTACCGACTAGAAAAGGTGAGATGGAGAAGTTTTAATATTCGGTCGAATCATTTGGTGTTGAAATTTCTTAATGTGTCCAATTTTTTATAACTCTCCTAATGATATATGATTCAAGATAAACTTGTGTCTTTGTATAGTTCATTGATGATGATAGTATACCACATTCTTCTCCACCAAAAAGTCATGCTAGAGGAAAAACAGATATAGCATGGGGTCATTGTAAACAGATTATTGAAGCTGGTAGTAATGGGAAAAAAAACTTGTTTGCTTGTATTGTGGAAAGACTTTTGTTGGAGGTGGTATTAATCAAGTCAAACAACACTTGGCGGGAATAAAAGGTGATGTAGATTCTGGTCATAAAGTACCCCCTGATATTAGATTTAAAATTAAAGAAAACTTGGACAATTTTACTACAAAGAAGCGTAGAGCTCAAGAAATTCTGGATGAGTATAAACCACATAGCTCTTATTATCGAGAACAAGAAGACCAAATGTATAGAGACTTGAATAATGATGATGTTCAAGAGATCATCCCTCCGAGTTCTAAAGGAAAGGGTATAGCTATTCAGACAAGTGAAAGAAAAGGATGGGAGCTAAACATTTAAAACAACAAAAAGGAATTGGATCGTACTTCATGCCAAGAACAGGACTTGGTAACTAGCCTACTATCAAAAGTGTTCTTCAAAGCAAAGAAGTATTAGAGAAATGTGATCTCACTATATCAAAATGGATGATTGATTCATGTATTTCATTCAATGCTGTAAATTCCGTGTATTATCAACAAAGTATAGTTGCCATAGCTAGCATGGGCCCTGGCTATAAAGGCCCAAATTCACAATCTTCGTGGTTATTTATTGGCTAAAAATGTCGAGGAAGTACAGAAATATGTAGAAAGCTATTGTTCAATATGGAAGACAGCTGGTTGTACAATTAAAGCAGATGGTTGGACAAATCAATGCAAAAGAACGCTTATTAATTTTTTAGTTTATTGTCTGAAAGGCATAATATTCTTAAAATCCGTAAATGTTTCAGATGAATCAAAAAGTGCTGACATGTTATACAAGTTATTTCGAGATGTTGTGTTATTTGTAGATTCAGAATATGTGGTCCATATGGTGACGAAAAATGTTGCAAATTATGTTGTCGCAGGTAGGCCATTGGAGCAAGAGTTTCAACCGTTATTTTGGTCTCCATGTGCAGCCCATTGCATTAATTTAATGTTTCATAATATTGGTAAACTCGATGAAGTTAGTAATGTCGTATCTAAAGCATCACAAATCACAAAATATATATACAACCATTGCTACCCATTGCATTTGATGAGGAAGTTTACTGGAAGAAAGGAAATACTTCGACCTTCTCCTACTCGTTTTGCCACTAACTTTATTGCTTTACAAAGCATATTGGCCCAAAAGGACCCATTAAGAGAAATGGTGACCTCTAGAGAATGGATTTAATTAGCATATGCAAAGGAAAGTAAAGGGAAAAGATTTATTGATGACGTACTTGATTATGTGTTTTTGCTTCTATTGTGCAACTTACTGAGCCCCTAGTTCGTGTTCTACGGATTATTGATAGTGATGAAAAGTCTTCGATGGGCTACTTGTATGAAGCCATTCATGTAGCAAAAAGTGAAATGGAACGTAGATTTCAAAGAAGGAAGAATAGAATAGCTCCTTATTTGCAAATTATTCAGAATCGATGGGATAGTCAATTGCGTAAGAATCTTCATGCAGCTAGGTATTGATTAAACCTGTCTTTCCAATAAAACAATTCTAATATGGAAAATCATGAACAAACTATTTCGAGACTTTTAGATGTAATCGAGAGATATGCTTGTGGTCAACCTGATTTAAGAAGCAAATTGACTAGTGAAATGATACTATTTAGGCAAGCATATGGTGACTTTGGATGTTTATTTGCTATAGCCGATCGTCATAGAATGGCTCCTGGTAAATTTTATTCTCATGTTATGTACTTTGTTATGTCATATAATTCAAATTTTAGTGTATATAACATATTCTTATTTTGTTTTCTCTTTGTTTTAGTACAGATGAATGGTGGATGTGTTATGGTAGCAGTGCACCAAATCTACGAACACTTGCAATTCGAGTATTAAATCAAACATGTAGTTCTTTAGGTTACGAGAGAAATTGGAGTATGTTTGAACATATTCATTCTAAAAAGAGAAATAGACTCGAGCATCAAAGACTTAATGATCTTGTTTATGTTCACTACAATTTACGATTGCAACAACGGTAATATTATTTAAATAAATCCTTTCCTCCTTTTTTTTTATTTGAAGATTTTGCTTTCTTTTATTAATATTATATTTTGATTACTTATAAATTGGATAATAAACTTTGTTTAGGAATTATTTCAAAAGTCAAAATTATGATCCTATTGACTTTGAAAGGTTTAGCATTTACGACAATTGGTTGTTAGAGGATGAGCCACCGAATTTGGTAGATGATGAATTGCAGAAATTTTGTCGTGATTCAGGTGCATGCTCTATACAAAATAATAAAATTGATGGTAATTGTTTGACTGATGCTATTGTTTCTTCTTCTTCTTCTCTTTTTAAAGTACATCTACTGTAATGTTTAAATTTAATACTCTTTTCCGATGAATTACATTTTGATGATCTTGATTTGGATTGTGATGGAAATGATGGCAACGGAATTGATAATAGAAGTGATACAAACAATGGAAATGAGGATTTTAGTATGACTGAGACTCCATCACTGGCACAAGGCGAAGGAATTGAAGAATTTATGTCCAAGACCCCAGCATGGAGGAGCTCAAACTCCTCTTAATTGAGAAGAAATTGATTTATTTCAAATAATTTACTTTGTTACCACGTTCTTTACTCCACGTTCAACTTATAATTGCTAGTCTTACTTTTGCAATAATATTTTTAAAGTATATGAAGCTATGTTGCCGAACTTTTCCATATAAGGTATATATTTTTATATGATTGATTGTTGTGTTTATTGTTTCAAAATCATATTTCACTATATATGATCTAAAATTTGTGAAATTGAGATACAAATTGATATTTAGTTAACAAAACAATATAAGGTTAATTTAGTTATTAATAGAAAATGGAAAAATATTAATTATTCAACAGAAATAGTTAAAATTATTTTTGATAGGAAATGACCCGCCGGTTGAACCACCGAGTCACCGATTGAACCGCTGACCTGTTGACCCACTGCATTGTCTGGGTCGGATTTGATAACTATGGTCCATATATACAACCGTTAATGAAAATTCCCAGAACGAGAATAAATTGGAACTTTTACACCACAAACAATTCACGACTGCCAATTCAATTTGGAGAGAATTATGGTTTTCACCTAAATCTCTTGTGCTAACTTTAATAATAAGTCTTAAACTCTAAATATGGATTGACTATATATATAAATTTTCACAGATTCTATTTGCCTAAAAGATTAATCTAATTAATGAATCTTAGTTCAATAGTAATTATTAAGTCCAACCAACAATTGAGCTTAGGACTTAATAGTTACAGTCTCTCACTTGATTTAGATCCAATATCAATTCCTTATTTATTATGGGAAAAAATCATATCTACCCAACAAAATTATATTATTTTATAAAATACTACATACTATTTTATATACATAATACACTATTTACCATATAAAATATAACTGAAAATACTACCTTTAATTACTCTTATTGCATTTTATATATATTTATTATACAATGTAATTGACAAATTTAAAGAAGGCATAGATTAAGTAGATCTAATTTAACTCCAAATTAATCTCTCTTTCTAAAAAATATCCATTTAAAATCACCTTAACAATGTTGAATGTAGCACTATAATTTTTCATCTTCTTCATCTCGTGATCACAAAAAATAAAAAATAAAATAAAAATTGAAGTTGTTATGATTTTAACTTTTCATTTTCCAGCAAATGAATAGATATTATTTTGTGATAACTGATTACTTGTTGGCATGTAATATGATTCAACACTGACTGCATATAATTGTGTATTTGTCCCCCCCCCCCTTCCATGTTCGAACGTCTGTTGTAAGTTTTTATGAAATATGGGATATAACATGAACATGTTTGATATTGTGTGACTATTTACCTTGGCAAAAAGTATAAGTATCAAATGATTCTTGTATCAAGTCTCGGATGAGTATTCAAAACAATTGGTGGATTTGATGGCTTTGTAATTCACTTGCAAACGGTTTGAGTTGGATTGGGTTTGATGTCAATAACTGGTTGATTTAATGGCGTAATGAGGCATCCAATTAATGGCAGGATTGCCTTGCAGTCGGGGAGATGTATGTTGACAACTACATTGCAAGGTATTCAGTGTTGCATTTCAAGTTATCATTGTTATATCTTACCTTACAGCTGCATTCATTATTACAGGCTACCGGATTTGCAGGCTAGCAATCTAGTTATACTGAAACACCCGCATAAATTACAATCAACTCTAGTTAGCATCACATAGGTAAATCATCTCGTCTAAAATTATAAATTTATTTATTAGTCATGTAGAGAAGGACATGTTGACATTGATCGGGGATTTCTTTCATATTGAAATATGATGCAAGTTACTAGGAAAAATTGGGGTTGCAGGGCTATTGGAACCACCATTGATGGTGCAATATAGAGTCCCATTGACATGTACTATGCCAGTGGATTTTTGGCTTCTACAAATAAGGTTACCATTAACTGTAATTTCCATGATTTGATGATGAAGTTTAATTTAATTTAATTTTTTTTCTTTTGGTTGTGAAAACAACAATTTGATCGATTTTTAAGTAGACGGTTTATATCTCGCACTTAACAAAATAATTTTGTATAAAAGACTCCGTTAACAATTAGGTGTAATGTCATGCGATGGACTTGCGAAATGATATTGTGCAAAACAGCTGTCTATTCATTAACAAGTTCCATAATTGGCATTTAAACAAAAGTGTTTCAGATGTTGAGAGACTCTTTCATGGAATTGGTAATTTGAAACTTATTGATGAACTTGTACGCCAGTATTGTGATTAACATTGAATCTTATTTAACATTTTGGAATGCACAGAATGCCCAACTTCACTACAAAATTTATGATAAAAACAATACATTGTACAGTTTGAAATGACATACATCTAAGATAAACGTAATGAAATTTGGAAACTTGGCATTATTAGATTGCACCATGAGGGAATTAATAATCACTAATGATGTTACGTATAAGCAACACAAGTCTAATGGATGCAGGGAAGTTGGCATCAACAAATTAACATTAAAAATCAAAATTATCAATACCATTTACCAATAAAACATAACAACAGTATGTCAAAATGATAAGATGCTAGACTCCCAAATCTGTAAAAACTACTAAAAGCACAAATCTGTCCAATTTCTCATTCTTTAGTTCAACTATCTCCACCGTTTTTGCTGCCTTACAGTTCAGTTAGTTCTTGGATGAACTCTTTTCAAGAAGAAGATTGGGGATTCCATATTAGTGTCTTTAGCGCTCCGTCTAATCGAGTAAACCTTTAAAAAGTCAATATCAAACAAGTTCACATACATCAATTGTCAAGGCCTTTAGATACAAACAGAAAAGCAGAAAAAAACATTTGATATACTCGTCATGCAATAAATCATATCTCCATTTTAAGGTATAATTTACCTTATCTTCAATTCCTTTTATAAAGGGACTGGCTTTTACAAGGTGCTTAAGGCATCCTTATGATTTATGAAATGCAACAATTGATATTTTCCCCTATAGATGCTTCAATGACAATTATAGCTAAAGCTAAGCCACCACATTCCTTGGCAATTGCCTCGGCTAAAGGTTTTTAATAATAAGTCTTAAACTCTAAATATGGATTGACTATATATATAAATTTTCACAGATTCTATTTGCCTAAAAGATTAATCTAATTAATGAATCTTAGTTCAATAGTAATTATTAAGTCCAACCAACAATTGAGCTTAGTACTTAATAGTTACAGTCTCCCACTTGATTTAGACCCAATATCAATTCCTTATTTATTATGGGAAAAAATCATATCTACCCAACAAAATTATATTATTTTATAAAATACTACATACTATTTTATATACATAATACACTATTTACCATATAAAATATAACTGAAAATACTACCTTTAATTACTCTTATTGCATTTTATATATATTTATTATACAATGTAATTGACAAATTTAAAGAAGGCATAGATTAAGTAGATCTAATTTAACTCCAAATTAATCTCTCTTTCTAAAAAATATCCATTTAAAATCACCTTAACAATGTTGAATGTAGCACTATAATTTTTCATCTTCTTCATCTCGTGATCACAAAAAATAAAAAATAAAATAAAAATTGAAGTTGTTATGATTTTAACTTTTCATTTTCCAGCAAATGAATAGATATTATTTTGTGATAACTGATTACTTGTTGGCATGTAATATGATTCAACACTGACTGCATATAATTGTGTATTTGTCCCCCCCCCCCTTCCATGTTCGAACGTCTGTTGTAAGTTTTTATGAAATATGGGATATAACATGAACATGTTTGATATTGTGTGACTATTTACCTTGGCAAAAAGTATAAGTATCAAATGATTCTTGTATCAAGTCTCGGATGAGTATTCAAAACAATTGGTGGATTTGATGGCTTTGACATTCACTTGCAAACGGTTTGAGTTGGATTGGGTTTGATGTCAATAACTGGTTGATTTAATGGCGTAATGAGGCATCCAGTTAATGGTAGGATTGCATTGCAGTTGGGGAAGATGTATGTTGACAACTACATTGCAAGACTACAATACTATATTCAACGTTGCATTTCAAGTTATCACCGTTATATCATACCTTACAGCTGCATTATTACAGGCTACCGGATTTGCAGGCTAGCAACTAGTTATACTGAAACACCTGCATAAATTACAATCAACTCTAGTTAGCATCACATAGGTAAATCATCTCGTCTAAAATTATAAATTTATTTATTAGTCATGTAGAGAAGGACATGTTGACATTGATCGGGGATTTCTTTCATATTGAAATATGATGCAAGTTACTAGGAAAAATTGGGGTTGCAGGGCTATTGGAACCACCATTGATGGTGCAATATAGAGTCCCATTGACATGTACTATGCCAGTGGATTTTTGGCTTCTACAAATAAGGTTACCATTAACTGTAATTTCCATGATTTGATGATGAAGTTTAATTTAATTTAATTTTTTTTCTTTTGGTTGTGAAAACAACAATTTGATCGATTTTTAAGTAGACGGTTTATATCTCGCACTTAACAAAATAATTTTGTATAAAAGACTCCGTTAACAATTAGGTGTAATGTCATGCGATGGACTTGCGAAATGATATTGTGCAAAACAGCTGTCTATTCATTAACAAGTTCCATAATTGGCATTTAAACAAAAGTGTTTCAGATGTTGAGAGACTCTTTCATGGAATTGGTAATTTGAAACTTATTGATGAACTTGTACGCCAGTATTGTGATTAACATTGAATCTTATTTAACATTTTGGAATGCACAGAATGCCCAACTTCACTACAAAATTTATGATAAAAACAATACATTGTACAGTTTGAAATGACATACATCTAAGATAAACGTAATGAAATTTGGAAACTTGGCATTATTAGATTGCACCATGAGGGAATTAATAATCACTAATGATGTTACGTATAAGCAACACAAGTCTAATGGATGCAGGGAAGTTGGCATCAACAAATTAACATTAAAAATCAAAATTATCAATACCATTTACCAATAAAACATAACAACAGTATGTCAAAATGATAAGATGCTAGACTCCCAAATCTGTAAAAACTACTAAAAGCACAAATCTGTCCAATTTCTCATTCTTTAGTTCAACTATCTCCACCGTTTTTGCTGCCTTACAGTTCAGTTAGTTCTTGGATGAACTCTTTTCA